TTACGAAATGGATAAGTTTAGCTCAGCGGTATATCTTTTCCCGATACATTCGACCTGAATTCCGGGTCATAGGTAATGTAACAAGAAAGCATTTTATTTTTATTATTTAAGTCTCGGGTTTGGGTCTTTACTCGGACATCGGTTACCGCGACTGAGGTTTTGCGTTACCCAAAAGGAAAAAAAAATTGCTTAATAGATTGTCAGAAACTAGGTAAGTGAAAGGAACGTAGAATGGAGATAAACGAATTAGAAAGAGTTTATACTTCATTTAATATTGTTAGGGAGGATGCACCGAAGATTCCCTGGTGTCGTGACCAAGATAAATGTCCACACGATCATCAAAAATGATGCTGAGGGGTGTTTGGTCTTGTCTGTTGTGACGGAAAGGTTGATTTCTCACATTTCATAGGTCACATCATGGAGACGTTAACTTTCCAGTGAGGGGTAGTTTACTTTCATAGGTCACATCATGGAGACGTTAGCTTTCCAGTGAGGAGTAGTTTATCCCCTTAGTATAATCCTTCCACTCACAATTTCTGTTAATCAGAATCACTTGCAGAAATATATCTATATATTATCTTTTCATAAATATGGCAGCGATAAATATTATTATGTAGAAATCTGCAACGTGATTCTTATTTTTGATATTTGTAACCATATAAAGTTCTTTGTGTGTGTGTTTACCGCGGAGAACGGTGCCATGATATATTTGCATTTTTCTCACTAGGGGCGCATTGATCGTAAACATAAACCCATTCACTTCAAAATTAAAATTCTTCCATTTACCCTACGGCTGCTTAACCGTGTGGTCACGCCTTTCACTGTTGGTTAATCACCGTGGAAACGTGACGATCCCAATCCCCGTTTCAATATTCTAAGACAATTTCTTACTCAATTAAATCTTCAGCTATACATTCATTGGTTCCCAAACTGCAGTTCGAGAACACGAAGCGAAACTAAGTGTTATTTCAGGTCCTCATGAAGTTGGCCATCTTCTGGGTCGTTGTGCCATGTAGCCTAGTAGACGTTCATAGCCCTGACGATGGACGCAGTAATCGCTTCCGAAACTGTACGACCCAACTTCCCTGAAGACTGTCATCTTCAGGCATAAATAAATGAAAGGTTATATTGTAATTAAGGAAGTAGTAGCCCTGCTGTGATAATGGTGCTTACAGGCGAGATTCCAGACGTTTTAAATGCAAAGTGGATGTAAACAAATAAGTACGTTGCCCAAGTCTGACTCCGGAAGTTCGCTTACTTTAACTTCCTCTGTTAATTAGTAGACTCATTGAGTTCCTTACTGCGTTGTTAGGTTAGGTTTCGGATTATGTAGCTGAAACAAGTGAAAGGTGAGAAGCGAAGGTTTAAAACACGCAAACTCGAGTTTCTAGAAGAAACGTGAAGTGTCTTCCAATATCCACAAACAAACGAACAAACGCTACTCTGGGAGACAGTCTTCCTCTTGTTCTGTTGCAACATTTGTTCTTCCTGCACGTAAAAAGTACGCGCATGAATATCTCCAAATGTCGCTTACGAGTGTGGATGCTGATTTTCCGTTTTCTTCAGGTCTCGGTGATATTTTTCTGAAATCGACAGGCAAATACATAAAATATTATCTTCCCATTAACACGTGGATCTCGCAAGTGGTCTCTCCCATCCAGGTTTTTCGATTACAATTTTTGTGTCCATCTCTCACTTCACCTATGCGTGTTACATGCCCGTCAATCTTGTACTACTTTTTTCGTCGCCTTAAAAAAAATTTCATGAATGTTAGACTACAGATGCTTAGTTTTTTATATGTATTTGTACCACTCTGCTATTCAAGAATTCTGCTTTTGATCTTTTCTGCAATTTTCATGTTAAAGTGCGGATGTCTTTGTGTATCTTGGCCGCTGGAGAGCATATTGTCCACCGATCACGTGATACATGAGTGAATATGGAGCAGCGATGGAATGATATTGTCAGGGGAAACCGAAGGGCTCTCATGAAACCTAAACTAACCCAAGCTAACCTAACCTAACCCAACCTAACCCAACCTAACCTAACCTAACCTAACCCAACCCAACCTAACGTAATCTAACCCAACCTAACCTAACCCAACCTAACCTAACCTAACCTAACCCAACCTAACGTAATCTAACCCAACCTAACCTAACCTAACCCAACCTAACCTAACCTAACCTAACCCAACCTAACCTAACCCAACCTAACAGACAACACAGGATCAAAGACACCGCCTAAGGACTTCAGAAGAACCTTTCCAGGACTTCTCCAGCACTTCTCTATGACTTAAAGCTTACGTAAATCCTCTAACGGGCTTCTGAGGCACTACTCTAGGACTTCTCCAGGACTTCTCCAGGACAACACCAGACCACTTGATGAACACTAGAAATTCTCCAGGACACATCCCAACCCATCGTAAAACAACACATCCCTCTCTATCCTAACCTAAGAAACTCTATCTAGGCTAATCTAAATAAACCTAACAGCAAATGCCACAGTGGACTGACCTGGGCACGAACCCACCGACATTCGATATGCATTCCTTGCCTCCCTGTCCTAGACATGCCCAGCGTATTGTAGGTTACCAGACTTTTGCATCTTGACAATGCCAGGTGGTACGCGTACTTAATGATGATTATCTTTGTGTGATATAACCCGCTTGGGCCTAGTCAGATTCATTGTTTGCTGTCAAAGTCGCAGATTTGTCAAATTATTGTTTTATATATTTTGCATTTGGTGTTTTTGAAAGCTAAATTTATCGTAGGTTTTTTTAAGGAAACAGTGAAACAATTCTGAATGCAGAAGTGTTATTTGATTCTAATACAAACCTCATTAAAATTTGTCGTCCCAGATATGTACACATCAGAACATTGTCGAATTATTTATTAAGCCGAGCAAATAACGTGCATTGTTGCGTGTAAAAATATGCCTCAAACTCGTCTGTACCGATTCTTTCTCAATTATCAACAAATAAAAAGTAGAATTTAAATCCAGACTTCAACAATGTGGCAGTGTTATTTATACTCCGCGTTGCATTGTAGCCACAGAACTTTGTAACAATCGATTTATTAATATCGACCGCATTGGAAATATGGAGCAGCGGTGGAATGATATTGTCAGGGGAAAACCGAAGGGCGTTGCATGTAGCCACAGAATCGACTGCATTGGCATCCACGTTAAATCAGAAAATTAAGGCAGAAAACCATAAACGTCTCAAAATGCATAACAATTGGGCCTGTGTAATCGAATTTCCTCGCATGTATCCATTTGATTTTGTTATAAAAACAATGGAATCGCGTTGTTCTCGCGTTTATACAGATTAAACGAGATGATTCTGCTGAAACGAGGTGATTGATATAGAAATATACGTCTTTTACGAATGGGCGAACTTCATGGTAGAGTTTTGTAACCGCGGCGTGAAAATGTTGAAGCATAGCTAA